CTGTTCCTCCTGCCTCATTCTTCCGGCAGCTTCTCTCGCTCTCTCGATCTCCTCCTGCTCGTGGAGGGAGTTTTGCCCCGTGGTTTTCCCGTGTTGCTCCTTCAGGTGGCGTCGTAAGGCAGGTTTGTGGGCAAAACGTGCGTGGCAGTAGGCGCAGCGGTGTGGGCGCTCGCCACTGTGGAGGTTCATGTGGTCAATCAGTGTGGACTTTTGTGTGAAAGTCTTGTAGCACAGTGGACACTGGTGGGATTTGCCGGCCACCCGGTGTACAGCCATGTGCCGGGTGAAGTTGGCGGAGTGGTAGAAATGTTTCCCACAGCAGGGGCAAGTGTACAGGAGGTGCACTGAGCGTGAGTGGACGGCTAGAGCATGAGCCGAGGGGAAGGTCATGCCACAGTGCTCACATATGACGGGCCCGGTTACACTTGAAGTGGAGCCCACAACTGCAACAGATTCGTCCCCTCCTTCTGTGGTGCCGATGCTGGCCATCCCTGAACTCCCTTCACCAGCACCACAGCTGGAATCTTCCAGAGAATACTGGCTCACAGTGTTAGCTGCCATAGTGGAAACTTTTTCTCCCTGAGTGTCACTCACACTCATGTTCATCTGTGGGAGATCTGAGACGTACCCTGTCTTCAATCCTTCCTGGCTATAGTCCAGCCCAAGTCCACCTCCTAATCCAGAAGCGGCCATATACCACAGTTCCTGGTGGTGGGCGAGGCCCGCAAGTCTTTTCTCCTGAGACGTCAGCCACCTTTTCCTTTTGAAACTCCTTGCCTTACCAGTCCCTCTTTCCTTTTCAATTTTAGGATCAGAGATCCTGCGTTTGAAAGCTAGACGAAGACTTTCCATGGAAAGTCCTCCAGTGCCAAGTTCTAGTTTGACTGGATCGATGTCATATTCCCTGCCGTCTTCTCCAAACACAACACCGTCTGTCTCAGGGTAACAAGCAACATCCAGAGGTCCATCAGAGGGAGTTCCAGTTTCCTCCTCTCCGTCTCTGCCCATCTGTTCTTCTTCAGAGACATACACTGCAAAGACATCGCAGTTCTCCTGCCTGGGAACCTCCTCCTCGTCTGACGCATTAACCTATAGGAAGTTAAAAGATTAGTCAAGATTCTGCTGCAGCTAACTGTGACATTTAAGCCATGCTGTTTGTATGTCACACATACAAACCTTAATGCATGGCTCATCTACCGTGGGACTTTCATCATGTTGTTGGTAACAGTCTTGAGCAGACAAATCACTGTTGTTGTCCCCAACCAACTCTCCTACAGCATCTTGAGGGTCCACAGCAGAGGTTTTAATAGTGGAGGGAGAAGCAGCGGTGTGAACACTGCCAGTGACAATGACAGGCTGATGTTTACTCTTCTCCTCCGCTGTCATCTGGAGGAAGAAATGAAATGGTGTGTCATTATAGTTTAAAACCTATAATGACTGGTGTAAATCACTTCAGACTAAGGGAGTTTTAGAAAGTTGTACCTGACCATGGATAACTAATAAAATAATTTCAATGAAAATCAGAAGACATCTACTCTACAAAATGTAACAAACTAGATCTCAAATGGTTGTAGCATGTCATTCATTACTTCTTTTGACATGCTGAATACAACACCATTTTATTTTGTAACATGAACGTGCCACAAGAAAATAAATGCTTTTCCATGTTCTTGTTGCCTGGGATACTGACCTTCGGACTGGGGTTCTTCAGCTGTACATACTTCTTTAGTGCTCCTCGACATCGCTCCACAATGTGTTCCATTTGCAGGTAGCTGGCAGCTGTCAGGTAGTTGACAATCTCCTCTGGGTTGAACTGCAGCATTCCAGTGTAACATGACAGGAGCAGATCACACACCACAGTGGCGCTATACAACATAGACACCTGTAGGAAGACAAACATGTTTTGTCAGCACTAAATTGAAGAAAGACACAATACCAGCTTTGTTTGAGTGAAAATATGCTGCTCAAAATCTGCCTTGTTACCTGAAGCTTTGAGGATGGATTGAGGAGAAACTGGTCCCTCAGGAATGGCGAGCACGCAGCCAGAACCACTTTATGTCCCCTGAATGTTTGGTTGTTGCTGGCAACAATGGTGATGTCACAGAAGTGCTGACAGGATCTCAGTGAGTCCATGTGTTTAAGGGTCTTGTCGCCATGGCCCGGCAATCGAAAACACAGCATTGCCATTTTTCTTGCTTCCCTTTAAAGAACAGGAAATTATTCTTATCACTTCCTCAACATGAAGCGTCTGTAAAAGGCCACACGTCTGTGTCAGTTCTCAGTTATCCAAAGCAGTTACATCAAGGGCAAATGGTTTAGTTTATTTCTCATTCAAGGCTTCAGTTGTAGAACTACTTTGGTTAAAAGGCAATAATCAGTTGGTACATATTCTGTTCCAAACAATTAGATATTATAGAAGTCATTAGTCTAATATGACATCATCTATTTTCCCAGTGTGGGATTAATCTAATTTATTCTAAATTTACTGTGTGATACTAAGCAATTTTACAGTAGTTATCTTGGTGCTTTCTCTATTAATGTTTAATATGATTTGACTAAGTATGGTAGATATGAATGTCTCAATGTATCAAAATAACCAGTTGTATAAAAACTGTTATAAACAAAGTACGGATCTAAAATGTGACTATTTAAGTTGTATAAAAACTGTTATAAACAAAGTTCGGATCTAAAATGTGACTATTTAAGAATTTACAGAGGAAAAACACTTCTCACCATGGGACATTAAATTATCTTTATGTTTATAACAAAACCCTCCAATTACACAAACTACATTTTTGCCAGTGTTCAGGCTGAAAAGAGAGCTAACGTTTTTACTGAACCCATATTCAGTGCACGAAGATCTTCTTTTAACCATTTTAACTTCTCTTTCCTGCTGTGTGAGAAGCTGAATCGTATCGTCACACACATATTTACGTTACATGTGACCACGAGTCCAGCCACTTGTTTGCAGCGTTTATTAGCTATGGTTAGCTACTACTTAGCTTAGCGAGTCATCATTTACACAAACAAAAGCTCATGTCAAACTTCACTGACACTCACCTACCCGTGTCGTTTTTATAAATGCCCCGTACGGTACAGAAATTTAACAAATCGTTATTTCAAATCATTGTGAAAGCCTCGTCGGTGTTCAGAAGTTGGTCGGAAACGATTTCTCGTCTGTGGTTTGACCATCAACTACAGCGGTTCCTCTGTTTACTTTTTGGCCCTTTTTTATGTGGCGGAAGCGCATCTCGTGACAACAAATAAAACACAGAACCTTTACCACGCGCTCAGCCGCTGACTCAGGATCTGTTTTGACGTTAGGCATGTTCGCGCTATTTACAGAAAAGCCAGAACCCTGAGCTGATTTCAAATCAGCATATCACTTCCTCTCCCATCAACACATCCAAGGGGTGGGGATGATAAGATTGATGACGCAAGCACGTAAAATTACGTCTCCGCTTTCGAGAAACATGTCGGCGTCCGAGACAACGACAAAGGTAGAAGAGCCCTCTGCAGCACAAAACTCGCTTTTCCGTTATCTTTATTTACACTGGACATATTTAAACCAATCAGATACATAGAGAAAACACGCTAGTCAGGCTGCATCCAAAAATTAATTCATCCATTCGCCTTTAAAGCTCTTTGTTGCATGATGTGCTAAACAGCTAGCATAATTAGCCTACTGATTTATTCACAGCATTGTATTTATGTTTTTATTGTTTTAATCTCCTGCCAAGTATAATATCAAGGCGTTAGCGAAGGCATCGTAAGTAGTTTCCTTTTAACTGCATTAGTTTTGTTTTTAAATTCTATGATTTGTCAGTCAGAGGTTTGCTTGTAAATGAATGGGTATACAAAATAATTGTCAGCTGTGACTTGAATGTAAAAATGGGACACGATATGCAATAATAGGACAGCTTTGGGGCTTTAATGTATACATTTACAGGGTTATAAATATATGTGTATCAAAACCTTGTAATTAAAGTTACATCCGTGAACTATGCAGGTTGTAAAAGACAGTATGTGTCTGCAATTATTGTATCTTCAGATAAATGTGTTGTTCCAAAAGTCATTGTTGCAGTTGCTCAAGAATACCCACGTTATGAACCTGGAGTTTTGTGATTAGTTGCAGCCCTTTCAAATGCGTGTAGTCGTAACAATGTTAACAGATGTCAGAACTGCTGTCACCAAATACACAGTTGTCACTGATGCATATCCTGGTTGCTCATTTTGCTTATTGTTAATGAGAATAATAATAATTATCTTTTACCAGGAATCTAATGGAAATGACTCAGAAACATCAGCAGAGCCTCCACCTGGAGTAAGCCAAATTAAATTAGGTGTGTTTATACCGGACAATGCATGGTATTTTATATTTAGTTAAACAAAATGAATAAGAGGTTGAAAACAGAAACAATTTTGTTGCCATTTTTATTTTATTTGCTCTCTTTATTAATGTTAGACAATGCATCCTCCACCGCTGCTGCGACTGCTGGAGACAAGGAGACAGAGAACAAAGAGGAAACGTCAAACATAACATCACAAGATTCTATTATAGATATTCCCAAAAGTGTAGAAGAGGGTGAGAAGCCACCACCTCCCTCTCCCCTGAAGAAAACCTCTGCAGGTAAGTTCTCTCTAAGGATATTTAGCCAGAATATATGTGGTTGCCTTTTTTGCCCGCCGATCTTGGAGCAGTTTTCGGTATTGTTTTTTCCCCTTCTTCCAGGCACTGCGACAAAGTCATTTCCATCAACATCCTCCTCTCCCTCTACATCACTAACATTGTCCCCTGTTCGAGCGAAGATGAGTGTTTCCGGACCCTGCAGCAGTAAATCTGCCCTTCCTTCCACATCTTCATCGTCCTTATTCTCATCCTCTGCGACGGCTTCCTCGTCATCTTCTGTCTCTGCCACCCCACCAAAGATCCACAGAGCCCGTAAGACCATGAACAGGCCGCCTCCACCAGGACAGGTAGGTCCTTATTAGATGAGATTGAGTCAGAGGAAGCCAATGATACCTTTATTGTCCTAGGAAAAAGATTTTGCTTTCTTTAAAGGTGAAATTCTGTCATTTGGAATCGTTTGGCTACTGACAACATATCACAGCTGCAGTGTAGCAGTTATTTTCTTAAAATACTTAATAACTTCTTGGGATGTTTTTTCTATTTTTTTCCACAGAGCAGTCAAACGGAGTCTTCTGTTGCACCTGGGGCTCATTCAGAAACCTCTGCCACATATGACCCTGAAACAAGTCAGTAGCTGTAAACAATGGAAATTATAAATAAAAAAGCTGCCCTGCTGCATCAAACTCATAAGTGTTGGGTTATTCTGTTGCATTTTTGTTGTCACTAGTTGTAAAAAGAAGAAAGTTAGACCTTTCATCTGATGGCATTTCTAAGAAGACAACAGACAACGCTCAGAAAGTGGTAGGACAGTGTTTTTCTGAATGTTAATACTTTATTTACTTTGTCATAATAAAAATTAATCTTAATAATAAAAAATATTTTTTCTTAAAACAGGAAGAAATGTTAGTTCATACAAAGGTCGAGTCTGTTTCAAAAGCACCTGCACCTGTGAGGAGCCTTGACAACTCAGATGAGGAAGACGTCACGAAAATAAGGATCTCCAGTCCTTTTACACTTGATTCTGAAAAGGTAAGTGACTCATATTGATGTAAATTTCATTTCTGCATACATCATAGGATGCAGTCAAATGTTAAACATTTGGAGCCTTGAGAAAAGACCAAGGTCTGGTGGAAAAAAAATGATTAATTATAAATTAATTTTCATTTTTATATACTTCACATACAGATTGGAGAGTTCACAGGAGAACAAAGAAAACACACTAAAACCTCGACGGGAGCAGATCATGTAAGTGTCTCTGTTTGCAGTACTCAGTTGATAATTACTTTTATTCATGTACCTGGTTCTAAAAGCATTCACAGTTTATGCCTGTAGGTGTCAGCAAATCTCTGCTCCTCACTACTAGCTTACATTTATTTATTCACATTTAAATTGTTTTTGTTTCCTGTTTCCCTTCCTTTGATGGTGCGTTGCCTTTTTTTTTGGTCTTTTCTCAATAATTTTACTGCACTAATCTTCAGACCTTAAGAGATGTCCAGAGAAGAAAGGAGGACGAGGCGTCTTCATGTGCACAGTCAGATCAGGACAAGGCCAGAAATACTAATGATCTGGTCGAGACGGTGGAAGGTGAGGTGCAACACGTTTAACTCTTTAAACTTAAAGTAAATACAGAAGTAGAAAGTTGTTTTTGCATGAATTAACCACAACTATATTCTTTTAATGGCTGATGTTCATCTTTTGTCACTTGTATTTAACAGGGAGATCTTCAGAGTACACAGAGGTTCCTCTCGATGCCCTTGACATTGCTGCTGCAGACAGTCTGACTCTTTCTCCTCATCATGGTATGTTATACTTGACCTCTTTCTGCCATTGTAATTTTATTTATTTTTTTATATTATTCAATCATTTTCTGATTCTGGTTTTCAGAAGGCAGTGATGCTGGAGACACCGAGCGACTGGAGGAGCTCCCTCTGTGCAGCTGCAGAATGGAGGCACCGCGGGTTGACAGCACCAGCCACAGACAGAGCAGACAGTGCATGGCCACTGAGAGCATTAATGGAGAGGTTTGTCCTTCTTGGACTTTTTTAATGATTTGATCCAAAGATAGTGCTGTGAGATTCACCTCTGACTAAGGCCTTCTCACTTAGAATTCAATCAATTTGACTAAGGCCTTCTCACTTAGAATTCACTTCTATTGATCCACTAATCAGAGATCATTCATTCAATGTTCCTTCTCTCTATCTGTTTGCAGCTGAGGGCTTGTACCAGCCAGACAAGCAAAGTGGAAACCATGCGTCCATCCAGTCGTGTCCCCCTCATGGTGCTCTGTGAGGTCCATCGCTCACACATGGTCAAACATCACTGCTGTCCTGGCTGTGGATACTTCTGTATAGTGGTAAAAAAAAAAATCTGTTGCTTTTTTATGATTTACCTGTGTATTTAAAATGATACTAAACACACCTTGGCATTGAGTATCCTTCTTCTGTGAAACCTTGACCACTCAACTCAAACTTTTTCTTCAGACTTAAACACTAGAGACTCTTTCTGACTCGTTTCCCATCATTGACTTCTTCTCTAACTCAAATCCTTTTCAGGGTACATTTCTCGAATGCTGCCCCGACCAGCGCATCGCTCACCGCTTCCACCGGGGCTGTGTCACGGTGCTGAACGGTGGACGCAGCCGAGCAAACGGCGGTGGTATGCTGTTCTGTCCACACTGTGGAGAAGATGCCTCAGAAGCCCAGGAGATCACCATACCCCACTTCAGCTCGGCCACTTCATCTGTGACCACCGTGGTCACCATGTCGGCGTCCTCCACCACTACACCTTCTCTGCCTCCATCTGTCCCCACAGAACCTTCGTTTACAGCATCCACGGGAGGGACGAAGGACGGCAAAATGCCCGAAAGACCCATCAGGTAACATTGAAAAAACAAATGTGAAAATAGGCCTATATGACTCCATTACATTTTCTATCTGCTTTTTTTTCTGTTTAGCGCTCGTATGCGCAGCCTTGGCCTGAAAACACTGGCGGTAGAGCAGCAGCAGCCGCCGCAGCCTGCTGCCTCAGCGGTGATGGAGACTGTGGTTCCTCCAGCAGAGGAAGGAGTGGACAGTGTGGGACCCACTGTCTGTATGCCCAATGGGAAGCCCATCAGCGCCAGTGCACTTCCACCTGGGCCCAGCAGGGCGGCACTGCAGAAGGCCATTCTTACACAGGAGACAGAGAGGTTAGGGTTTTAAATGAGATTTTTTTTTTACACTAACTTCTCAAAATCACAGAATCAAATGTAGGATTAAATCTGTCACAATGATTTGTCCAATGGAAACATTTCTCATTTGTCAGGAGGAAGAAACTCAGATTCCACCCTCGCCAGCTCTACCCTGCTGCCAAACAAGGCGAGGTGCAAAGAGTCCTGCTGATGCTGCGTGAGTGAAAATCTGTCACCTGTGATTTGTGGATATTGTCTAGGGGATTTCAGGGTATCGCCTACTTTTTTTCAATGTATATTGGTTAACAAGTATAATGTTACGTTCACCACTACTTTAATGGATCGGAACAAGCATGTAGGGTAGACTGTTTCAATTGCTCTGTGTTTTGTGTCTCAGTGGAGGGCATCGATCCAACCTATCAGCCTGACTCACAGAACAGGCGCTCTGCTCTACATGCTGCTGCTCAAAGAGGTCTGCTGGAGGTCTGCTACATGCTAATACAGGTGCCAAGAAGATAGATGAACTTTTCTACTGCAACAGAGAAAAAAGAATAATGTACCTAGAACCTACAGGCTCAGTTTGGTTCTCAGATCCATTCTTACAGGCCGGTTCCTCTTCTTCCATCACAGGCAGGAGCTCAGGTGGACGCTCAGGACAAAGAGCTGCGGACGCCTCTGTTGGAAGCCATCATCAATAATCACGTTGAAGTCACCCGTTACCTCATCCAGCATGGGGCCTCCGTCTATCATGTTGTAAGTCACACATTTAAAAAAAAAAAAAGTAAAGTGATGAATGTGATTCCTTGATATGAATTTCTGTGTTTACTGTGAATATTCAGGAAGATGACGGCTACACCGGCCTCCACCATGCAGCCAAGCTGGGGAACCTGGACGTTGTCAACATGCTGCTGGAGACGGGGCAGGTTGACGTGAACGCACAGGTAAAGAAGAAGCTGAAGTATTCATGTGGACAGTCTTTGGGCCTGAATGTCAGAAACTAGTAAACTCCATATAACAGTCACACCAGGTACAACAAAAACTATCACCTGTTGTTGAAGTTTGTATCATTGCTGGTTGTAGGACAACGGTGGCTGGACACCGATAATCTGGGCTGCAGAGCACAAACACGTCAGGGTGATCAAATCCCTGCTCAACAGAGGAGCTGATGTCACCATTAAAGACAAGGTGAGATTATAAACCAGTAGAATTAATTAGGGAAGGGAAAACAATATTGTAAAAGGGTCTGTTTACCAGAAACCCTTTATTATTTATTGATTTTATTAATTTATTTTACTGGTTACTTCTGTCATACTGCCTCAGGAACAGAACGTTTGCCTCCACTGGGCGGCGTACGCAGGAAACGTGGAAATAGCAGAGCTGGTGCTGAACTCTGGCTGCTCCCTGGCCTCCGTTAACATGCATGGAGACACGCCGCTGCACATCGCTGCCCGAGAGGGATACTTGGAATGTGTCACGTAAGTTTTAACGCTCATTTTAGCAGGTGTACTTTTTTTTTTTTGTTTTTTTAAAGATTGAACAGTGTTTTGAACACAGGCGACCAGGAGATACATTTAGATCTGTGTGTCACTCTGGTGTGACTCCCTTTTCTCCTGCAGGTTGTTCCTCTCCAGAGGTGCAGACATCGACATCATGAACAGAGAAGGAGACACGCCTCTCAGCCTGGCACGGGTCGATACGCCGGTGTGGGTCGCACTCCAGATCAACAGGAAGCTGCGGAGGGGAATAACCAACCGCATGCTACGGACTGAAAGAATCATCTGCAGGTGGTTCATCAGAAGCTGTGCTTTTCTATAGAAGCCGATTTTTAAAAAATGTTTCTTCCTCAATATTTCAATGCTTTCTTTTTCAGTGATGTTGCACAGGGTTATGAGAACGTACCAATTCCCTGTGTGAACGCGGTTGATGACGAAGGCTGTCCTTCAGACTACAAATACGTTTCGGAAAACTGTGAAACGTCCGCAATGAACATAGATCGTAATATTACACACTTGCAGGTAACGTGTCCAGTGAATCCTGTTGTTGAAGTTTTCCTACCTTTACAAAGACAACACTGGTAATAAAAATATATTAGTTTTAATTCTTTGAATGATCTTTTTTTTTAGCACTGTAGTTGCACAGATGACTGCTCGTCAAGTAACTGCCTCTGTGGGCAGCTTAGCATCAGATGCTGGTATGACAAGGTGAGTGCAGTAGAGATTCTGTTTATCTTCATCAGTATGAAGTAAAATCTTTTTAATTTTTTATTAATTTAAGCTGATTCATGAAATAAAAGTGAGACACATGGAATTGATATGATTACTATTCATGGATTCTTACTGTTTTATTCTTACTAATGAGATTGATATTATGATTAAATGATACACTTAATCTATTTATTTTATATTGTTTTCATTATCTTATGAAGGTGTGATTAGGTCGCTGTTTTTAATGGAGTTGTTTTAGTAATGTTCGACGTTTAAAATTCAAGCTGTTTTTTTTTTTCTTCCAGGACCAGCGGCTGCTGCAGGAATTCAACAAAATCGAGCCACCGCTAATATTTGAATGCAACGTGGCCTGTTCCTGCTATAGAACATGCAAGAACCGGGTGGTGCAGGCGGGCATCAAGTAAGACTTTAAACATTTGCTTGTTAAACATAACAGCACATTACCGTATTACAACTAAGCCAACTTATATTCATATTTGTCTGACTTGATATAGTAATACTTGATGGATACTTCTTTCTGACTGTCTCTGACTGACGTCTTCTCTTGCACCATCAGAGTTCGTCTCCAGCTCTACAGGACAGAGAAGATGGGCTGGGGGGTCCGAGCCCTGCAGGACATTCCTCAGGGAAGCTTCATCTGCGAGTAAGGGGGAACTCAGCATTATTTGATGGGATCCTCTTTAGTTCAAACTCATACGTGTTAATGACTGCTTTCACTCCACGCAGGTACGTTGGAGAGCTGATCTCTGATGCAGAGGCAGACGTGAGAGAAGACGACTCCTACCTGTTCGACCTGGACAACAAGGTACGTGTAATTGTATTTCCTTGTTAATTGAGAATAGCAGTTTTGTAGGAATTATAGTTTTTTAAAAGAATAAGTGGCATTTTGAAGCAGCGAGTTAGTAGCAGAAGGCAAAATATTTTTAAATTAAGGAATTCCTGTTTTATTGCACACTTTTTTAGTTTGTTTGAATAATGTTCTTCTTCTTTCCTTCCTTCCTTACCATTTTTCCCTCTATTTTTCTTAGTCTTGAATGGCTGCTGGGAGGTATTGTTGGAAAAATGTTTATTCTACAATATTGAACAACCAAAGTTATATTTTTTTGTATGCAGGATGGCGAGGTGTACTGTATTGATGCCAGATACTATGGCAACATCAGCCGCTTCATCAACCACCTGTGTGATCCAAACCTCATCCCAGTCAGAGTCTTCATGCTGCACCAGGACTTGAGGTTTCCTCGCATCGCTTTCTTCAGCTCCAGAGACATTCTGAATGGACAAGAGCTCGGGTCAGTCCACCAGACTAGCACTTTACTTTGACTTCAGCATCTAAAATCTACCTTTACCTGAGAAACCTCATTGTGTTTGAATTTTTCCATTTGTTCTATTAGGTTTGACTACGGAGACCGTTTCTGGGACATCAAAAGCAAGTATTTCACCTGTCAGTGTGGATCGGAGAAGTGCAAACACTCGGCCGAGGCCATCGCCTCGGAGCAGAGCAGACTGGCTCGGCTAGAGGCCTGCTCAGAACTGTCAGCCGACTGTGGAATAACTATGATAGGAAACTCTTAAACAAAACATACTGTGGGGCCATGGATTATACTCCTCAATATTTTTTACATGCACAGCGGAAGTGGAAATACCCCTATGTTTGAGAATAAATGTTGAATGTATGTCGTCCTTTTTTCTACTTGTCAAAAAGTTTTTACTGGATCTGACTCTGAACCTTTGTGCTTTCGCTATCTATCATTTTACATATTCATGTAGTTCGTTTGTGCCAATAAAGTCAAAAGAAAGACAGTGTACAGTGATGTGAGGAAGCAGTAGTTATTTTGTACGAATGTGTTGACCTTGTCTTTATTTTTTATTTGTTTTTTCTATCGTCAATTCTAGTGTAATAAATTAGCTCATGAGATATATGTATTTTGTGTTTATTTCTTCATTTTTTAAATCATCCATAATAATTATCTAACAATTATTTTATTATTTAATTTTTGAAATTCAAATCCTGAGTATGAAATAACTCATGTTTACCAGGGTTTTTATTGTCTCTTTTTTGAATGCTTAATAATCAGTCAAAGGATAGCATGTCTGTTTTTCAGTCAGATTATGCAAAATTGATTGATTTTAAATTGACATTAAATACCACAGGTATTGAAATTGTAGGAAAAATGTAAACATTTTTACTTTTGCTTCAGCATAAGCCTTCATGAGTGTTATGCTATATAACCAGCAGGGGGCACTTATCGGCCATATAACAGAAATCAGTTTTTATCATGTTTGGATGATATTGGGCTTGTCCCAATCAGACAAAAAGGAAGAGGTCTCACTTTGTTATTATTGTAAAGCGAAAAAACCCGCCATTACAACACTAAAATGTGAAGAGTAAAAAATAAATAAAAAATGTTGAAATAAGATACATTTGTTGGTAACGACACGATAAAGGGGGTGACAGGTGAACCGTCTTTAACAAACTAAACCATTTCAGTTGCCCCTGACGGATTTTAGATTTTGGTGAATCCACTCTTTGTTCATTTTGTGATTCGAGTGACTCCTCCTGTTTATTATAAAAGATCTTTAACACAGCTCTCGCAGGTGCTCTCCCGCCCCTGCAGGTGCAATCACCGCCCAGTTACAAGGGACAGGAAGAGGGGAAAAAAAGATTTGTTCACTTAGTAACGCCGCGCCTTCAGACGCGAGCGGGGATGTTTTTATGATTTTTTAAAATATTTGTCGTTACCTTCCACTCAGAAAGTGATATTTGTTATTCCGTCGTTGAAAATAGGTGGAGGAGAAGTCGGAAAATGGGGAAGAAAGTAGAGTCAAATGAGGAATCACAGTATGGTAAGTGAGCCTCGGTTCAACCGCTAGTAACCGTTACGTTACCTCAGCCTTTTAAATTCTACCAACACATTTAACCGACAAACCTACTTTAAAACACTTACTAAGAGTGCAATGGAGATAGTTTAGAATCTTCTTATTCTTCTTTGTCTTTCGGCTTTACACCTTTTTTCAGGGGTTGCCACAAAATATTCGAATGAAGTAAACTGAATAAATTAAAGAGTTTGAAAAATATGTTCTGATTTCATTTAAGATAACCCTTAATTAAAATTCATTGGTATTTATTAATTAAATATGGTTTTAAGTTTTTTCTTCCTTTTTTTCTATAAGTTGTTAAAAACCAGCTAAACCCATAAACTCTTTAATCCACCTTAAATGTTGGGATTAGCAGCATGTCAAAGGTTGGTACATTGGTACAAGGAAGTTGTTTTGGTGTTTTAGTTCTAAAAAGGAAACAGACACAATAAAGCTTACACAGATGTATTCATGTATAATGGTTGGCCACTCTTCACTGAATTTGCGTTTCTCTGGGTACTTTGGTTAATTTTCACAATCCTTTAGATTAACCAAACACCTAATAACAATTGACCAAAGTAACGAGATAAATGTCAACCACACATACTGTCAAAGGGTAGAGGAAGACAAAAATACAATTACACAGATGTATTCATGTATAATGGTAGGCCACTGTTTACTGAATTTGCGTTTCTTTTCATGAATGTTTGCAAAAAAATAGCTTTTCAGAGTTTACTGAATAACAGTAGGAAGGTTTTCCAATAAATAAATAAATAAATGTACCTTAAAATTAACCTAAACTAACTGTAAAACCATAGATTTATTAAAAATGTATTACCAATGTCAGAACCAGGACAACCATTCTGGTAAACATGTTGAAGGTTCATGGAAAAGTGCAATAAATATTTGCAAAAATACGAGTCTATTAAACCACCGAAACTAAATGATGACATAATGTTAATTCTTTTTTTCAATTAAACATACATTTTGTGCAGTTTTTTGTATTTATATGTTTTGATAAATGATAAAATGATGATTTACAGACGAAGAGAGAAGAGAGTCTGTGTCTATGACTTAAACACCCACATGACTCTTGTTGTCAATTGGGCTTATTGCATAGATGCTAATCAAACCAGGCGTTGCACTGTGAAAGAAAAAACAAAGTGTCTTGTTACAGCTCTGCAGCGTGTGAGCAGGTTATGTGCAGAATAGAAGACTTGTCTCTGTGACTCCCGGTGTTGCTGACGCGTTGCTTGTCAGGCCTTTTCTGTCAGATCAATTGTAGATCCCTGTTTGTTCTCACTCACTGTTGCATTGATCCCTATGGTCGAGTCACAAGACTGTTGACAGTCTGGGAGGTTTTGCAGAGACACAAAAAAAAACATGAACCCTCCCTGGGAGTAAATATCAGAAAAGGATTCTACAAATAACTTAAGAAAACATTATCAAAATGACAAGCGTTGACTCCTGAGTGTCTGACAACAGGGATAATGTGGAGTCGAGACACTGAAAACTGATAAACCTCTCTGTTCTCAAAAAGTTATTGTATATAAATTTACCATCTGTTTATTTCCTTAACAGTATTTGTAATATGGTGTCCTTTGTTCTTTTGTTGTGTAACATTTATCTGGTAGTTCATGTTCTATGGGGTTACACATTTCAAACCGGCTGGGTTTTTTTTCATGCTGTTAAGACACTCGACATGAGGAAATAAGTGTGAAATGAGTTTGCAAATCATTGACAAGAGTTTGTTAAAGCTTCATGAGAAAAACCTCTGATTTTTACTAACAATCTAGATAATAACGGTGCTATAAATTATACACAAACTATTATTTAAGGTGCCATTCACAAACGCTGTATAGGCACTTTATTTAAGCTCATCAAATAGAGACTAAATAAATACTCAATCCATTACCTGGTATTCAAGGGGTTATTTTTAATGTTGGTTTTTAAGATTAAAAAACAATGAAATGATGAAAAGATTATTAAAATGTGTTACCCTAAAATGATCTAAAACAAGCCTCTTCCTAATAGAAAAAACCCACATGTAGCACTATTAGTGCCAAATGTAAATCTGCTAAATGTATTGTAGTGTAATTAGAGTGAAACCTGTCACACTATGAAGAGAGCCGCCACTTATCATAGTGTATGTCTGACACTTCCTTTTCTTTAAGAACTCCTAACATAATGCGTTAACCAGGTTATTGGTTCTTCTTACAGACATGGAGAAGGGTGAGGCCAAGGTTCTGCTGAAGTCACTTTTTCCTTTGTCAAGTGACCTCTTTCAGTGGTTTTGACATAAAAAATGTCACCAACGCTTTGTTGTATTTTCTGTCAAACAGAAACAGCAAAAGAAAAACCTGCTCCTATTTCTGCCTCTCTTCACCCAAGGTCAACACGTGACCTTCACCCTGTTGTTCCTGTAATCCTGCCAATCCCAGTTATAAAATGACCTAGCTTTACTCAGGTCTGGAGTTCAAAATTTTATGTTTTAAAAAGCTATTTTTTCAACTTCTATGGGAACATAAAAACCTGAGTCATTTGTGCGTAGTTCACCATGACAGTGACAGCAGTAAATGAGTGGAGCCGAAATCTGACACTGTGGACTCAACAGAGTTTCTTGTTGTTTTTCTTAATCCTATTTCTCTGTGTTGCTTTCCATTGAAAATCACACACGTTAATATATATTTAACTCGCATTTACACACTATTCTGTACATTTTCCACGTATTTTAACACTTGTTTTGAGGTAATATGTCTACCAAGGTAAATCTGAAGCGGCGCCAAGTTTAGTTTGCTCCTGCATCCTGTTGGAGGGTTTGTTGTATCCTCCTCTCACGTCCTGACATATTAGTCTGCTCTACTATTGTTGACACAGTTTCACAATTTGCTACTATTGATATTACTGCTATGTCAGGATAAATAAGGCCCTCCCCACAGTGAGGAATAGAAACCATTTGATTTGTGAGGAGATGGGCTAAATGTGGAACAATCAAACCCACAGAGCATGTTAGCATATGCATGGGCCAAAAGGCAAATGCAGGCTTCAGATTGTTTTAGAGATATTTGAGGCATTTGCAACCCGTCCTCACAGTGTTAACTGTTGTCTTTAAAATGCAGACTCTGAAGACATTAAAGTAATGAAAATTAATAATTTCCCCCCTTTCTGTAAACATCAACGTGTATAAAATAATTAATTATTAGCCTGTTCTCAGACTGGTAGTCTGTAGTGTATTACCCAGCCACCAATGAGTGAATTTAGAACTAGTTTTCAAGCCACAAAATATTTATAGTCTTGCAATGTAGAATTGTACGATAAATCAAGCCTTTATGTCATTTATATTTAAAAAAACAAACTCTTGCACTAAAATTTAAATATTATCTTCTCCGTTTGTCTCTAATTTCACTGTGCTCCACTTCCCCTTCTGTGTATTTGCCCTGTACACACACTTTACATGAGTGACAGTAAATTTGATTTTTTGGTCTGAGTTAATAGGGTCAGATAAGCAGTGAAAGAATGTGTTATCAGGAACCAGTTTAAATTAACGTTGGTGTCCCTTCGGTGTCTTGCTACAGAGATTTTTTTTCTGTGGACCTTATGGCTCAGCCCTAGCAAGTTGACAATGTATAGTTGATATGTACATTAGTAAATTGTATAAAATTAGCTCAAATTAAACCAAATGAGTAAAAAAAATAGTCAAATTATGACTTGTCAAGATGCCGTTGAATGATTAATATCAGGCCACAAATGTCTGTCACACTAAGTGTGATATTAGCCAAGAAACATCAGCAGTTTAGCTGAGAATAGGTCACAGTTAAAGCTTCTACTGACGGTGATAGTAGAGCTCTTAGTAGCAGCTGCCCTCAGTCATGTTAATATAAACACAGGTTTTCATCCTGTGACGCATGAGCCCAGAATTCAAATTTCATTCAAATAGCTTAGAGCTACTATTGAAATGCAGCACAACAGCACTCATTCTGCCAGTATTAGAGTGTAAGTTACTAACAACGCCTCTCTTGGTAGTTATATTAAACACTGTTTGGTCTTTAGACGTTTTATTATATGTTCTTTCAGGAAGTGTTGCTCCATGTTCCAGGAAACAAAAGTAAAAGATGGCTGCCTTGTAAAAGAATCCTCGGTCATAAACACTGTGTTTTAAAGCAACATTTGGTTTTGTTAAGTTATGTACATTTCTTCAAGTAATAACATACTTAATTTGTTGAAGCGTCAAGTCCCAGATAATCCATATTTCCATTCCTACAATGTCAATTTTGTTTACATTGTCTTAATTTTTTTTCTGTTCTGTTCTGTTGTTCTAGGAGAACCAGCTCAGTATGACCGGAACTTCAAAGGACCTTTACAGAAAAGGTAAAATAGTTTAAAAAGAGTCTAAACCTTCATTGATGTTTTGATGAACCTGTAGATCTCATTCATCACCTCCTCGTCCTCTTCCTGTCTCTTCCTCAGAGGCTGCACCGACATCATCTGCTGTATCTTATTCCTAGCCGTCGTCCTTGGATATATAGCGGTCGGGATTTTAGGTGAGGAACATTTTTAAAAATTGAAAAAAATAACTGACAAAACCATTTTACTTTTAACCATAAGAAAAACCATAACGAATGAATGACTGTTATGTAAACGTTCACACATCACGTCTTTCGTTAAATTACACTCAGTGTGTTGTGTACAAACAACTGATTTGGCTGCGAAATCTTTATTACCCTCTTCGTCAAACTCATCCCAGCACCAAAGGTCCTCGCTCTTATCTTGAGTCAACAGAAGGCTTATAGTCACTGACCTACTGTGGCCTAAATAATCAACTACTTCCTGAATAGTTGGAGATAGATCGATACTACCAGTTGATGAAAGATGAGAAAATATGTTAAAGTAGTGATTGTGAGTTAAAACACACCCAGAATGCTGTCTGTATTTTATATACATTGATTTGATAGTAGTCAGTTATAAGTTGTCACACTCTTTGACCTCAGAGACTTCATTTTTAACCTATTTCTAATGTGTGTTTTTGTAATTCCATCAGCATGGATCTACGGTGATCCAAGACATGTTCTTTATCCCAGAAACTCAACAGGCTGGTTCTGTGGCCTTGGAGAGAACAAGTACTTCCATTCTCTTTACTTACACAACACTAACTATGATTGTTTGATTGTAATGTCAATTAAATAGAAGCACCACATCTGAATTGACATCTCCTTTTGTTTGTTTGTGTTGTTGTTTTGTTTTTTGTCAGAGACAAGCCCAATATTTTTTATTTTGACCTGATTAAATGTGCCACATCTGTCAACATTATAGCAACTGCTCTCAATGGTCTTCAGTGTCCAACTACACAGGTAGAGGAAGCTGATTGTTTATCTTCATCTTTTTTTAGTTCACAACACACCATTGTGTTAAACTGCTTTAATCCGTTGTTTCTTCATTCTCCATAGGTGTGTGTGGAAAAGTGTCCGTCAACGTACTGGGCTCTAAAGTTTGAAGCCTATTTACCAACAGCTAGACCAGCAGATTTTTTTAATCAAAGCCTATGTGTGCCATCACTGGATCTGGCTACTACTCCCCTGGTCAGTCTCATGATGCTGTTTGAACATTTTGTAACAGTCTTGTTGGTTTTTAACTTGATGAAGTGATTTAATCTTGTTAACAGAAAGTCAAAGACATCCTGGACAAGGAGCTGTGTCCTTTCTTCCACATACCTACTACCTCAGGTGAATGAAGTTTCCTTTGTGGTCTCCATTAGCATTGACTGAGTTGTTGTGAGTCCTCATGACCTATTCTCTACTTGGCTCTAAACATTCAGTTTAACTTGGTTTTTGTTGTGTGTGTTTGAGTAAAAATACCATTTAAATATAACATATAAAAGCTAATTTAACTAAGTCCTGGAATAGGTAAGTGTTAACCAAAAAAGCTCAAATAAAATTTAGTCTAAAAAAGAAAACAACCATAAATTGAAAATGTCATTCACATTGTCACATTCAGTGATTCTGTTTCACCAAAGGCATCTTTTTACAATTTTTGTTTATAGTTAAAAAAATAAATCAAATTTCCTGCTATTGATTAAACTGATTGTATCTTTATTCCTTTGTTGGCAGTGCTAGGACGATGTTTGCCTGTAATTCCTGACTTGGAGAAAATACCTCCAGAATTTTCCAATGTTATTGGTTTACCTTCTTCGGTCAACGACACAGTCAACCTGATCAAGAATGGCACTGTGTAAGAGCTTTGTGTCCACGAGGAAAAACACGCTAAATTTACTCCTGTCTAATTTTTAACAAATATATATTTTCTCCTCATCACCAGCATAAAGTCAGTGGCTTCGTGAGTCGTGTGTGTGTGTTTTTACTGTAGTGTAGCGCTTTGTAGAAGTTGTAGTTTCTTCTCTTGCGGTGTGGAAATCAGCATTTCACTCTTTGTGCATGCTGTGTTACGGCAATAACAAGTACAAGTCGCATTTCAATCAGTAGGAACGTCTCAGAGTCTCCATCTGTGATTGTTAAAGATGTTGCTCTTGATTCACACTGTACTTCCAAATAAGCCATGAACAAAATAAGAAGTACTGCATTCTTAGATGTAAGGGAAACGCCGTACATCCATGCAGTTTCTCAGGCATTGTCTACGTTTTTCCGTAGAGCCTCATTAAGAAAAAAAAACAAGAAAACTGCTTTAAACTGTACAAACTGCATTGATCTAAACTGAAGAGATTCCCTTTGTTCTCAGCAGAGAAACAGTGTGTGTGTGTTATTGTTACTGACACTGTGACTGAAGAACGGTCACTGTCACAGCCCACCTCTGCTCTTGTGTCTCATCAGGGACGTTGTGAAAGGTTTTAATGCCCAAGATGTTGGCGTCAGAATCTTTGAGGATTTTGCATCTTCATGGCCTTGGATCCTTCTGTGAGTGGCTCTGCAGGAAAGCACCGTACACTGCCACCTACTGGCAGAAAATACAAGTTGAAAGAAGAATAAAATTGCAATAAAGCCTGTAATTTTGCTCTCATAATCTGCTGTTCTCTGTCCTGCAGAGGTCTGGTAATAGCCATGGTGGTCAGTATGCTCTTCCTGTTGCTGCTCAGATTTGCTGCACCAGTGATGGTCTGGGTTCTCATCATAGGGGTCCTAGGCGCTGGAGCGTACGGTAAACAGCTCCACTATATCTATTAATTTTACACCTGTGTTTTTATAAATATATATGAAAATACATACAAAATACAAAATAAATACATACATAGTTGAATATGTCACTATAAGGTGGAAAATAGTCGTATCTATTGTTCCCAGCCGGTCATTTGACTGTTTGTCTTGTAGGGATTTGGCACTGCTACTGGGAGTACGACAACTATAAGAAGGCCTCGTCTTCCATTACTGATGTCGGTTTCTCCACCGACTTCAATGTTTACCTGCAGGTCCAAGAGACCTGGCTGGCCTTCTGTGAGTCACTTTGTGCTTTCAGAGAAATACATACTTTTTAGTAGTTTATAGTCAATACTATTGACTATAACCTACCCCCCCCCCTTGCTTTCACTCTTCTCCTCATCAGTGATCATCATTTCTGTGGTGGAGGGTATCATCCTCCTCACCATCATCTTTCTCAGGACCAGAATCCTCATAGCCATTGCCCTCATCCAGGAGTCCAGCAAGTCAGTTTATCACATTTCTATTATTATTATTTTAAGGACCATTAACTGGTTCACATATTATCTTTAAGTTGACTTTTGATCTCTACATCATCTTGAAATGATGTGTGTAACCTTGTTCCCCAGGGCGATCAGTCACATGATGTCCGCCCTAGTGTACCCTCTGGTCACCTTTGTCCTGGTGCTGGTGTGTGTCGCTTACTGGGGCGTCACTGCTTTGTATCCTTTCATTTTTTTCGACATGACATTTATTTCTACACTTACTCTGACCATGATTAGATTAACTTCTATTATCGATTAGTTACAGTATATACCTGAACCTACACGTGCAGATATTTGGCCACTTCAGGAGATCCTCTGTACAGAGTTGTTGCTCTGAACTCCACTTTGGCCGACTGCAAGAACATCAACGGTAGTGAAAACTGTGACCCTCAGGTGAGCTGACAGGAGGGTGTGGATGACGACAGTTACTGTTCTTCTTTTGAACCTTTTCTTACATTCTTCATAGAGAGAAAATGTGCTGCTGAAGTACAGCAGATCCTTATAACAGTTAACATTTCATGCTTTATATCATTCTGTTCTTTTATCAGAACTTTGACTCTTCAAAATACCCAGACTGCCCCTCTGCCAACTGTATCTTCTTCAAATACAACGATGAGGGAAACTTTCAGAAGCTGCTGTTCAATCTGCAGATCTACAACGCGGTGGCGTTTCTCTGGTGTGTTAACTTCGTCATTGCCCTGGGCCAGTGTACACTGGCTGGAGCCTTTGCCTCCTATTACTGGGCCTTCAACAAACCAGATGACATCCCCATGTTCCCTGTAACTGGTGGCTTTGTTCGCTCACTCAGGTAGGCTCCTTAAACACAGAAATGTTAATAGTATAATAATAAGTCTGAAAACCCAAGAGACATGTTGCAGTTCCCTGTTTGTCTGACAGAGGGTGCAAGAGGCCTATATAATATTTGCTGTCTCTAAATAACAAGCACAAACTCATAAGCAACAGTGATCATTGACTTTATAAAATAGATTAGTAAATGTATGAAAATACTAAAACTGGATTTTAAAACTATTTTTTCAGATACCATGCAGGCTCCTTGGCTTTTGGTGCTTTGATCCTGACCCTGGTCCAAATAGTGAGGATCATTTTGGAGTACATTGACCACAAAACTAGAGGTAGACATTTTTGTTATCTTCTTTTTCATATTTGTCACATAATAACATTACAGACGTGACACTATTGGTTCATCTTTAATTTGTAGCGGCTCAGAATCCAGTTGCTCGTTTCATCATGTGCTGCTTGAAGTGTTGCCTCTGGTGTCTGGAGAAGTTCATTAAGTTCCTCAACAGGAACGCTTACATCATGGTGAGTTAGACTGAGACGTTACAGGACAATCTGTGAAAATTCAAGGGAGGAAATGAGCCATTCTGCACACATGGTGCTGCTGCTTAACTGAAGAATGACAGATTTCTGTTCCAACATTGACCAGTGTAAGGATAATCCCTGTCTTTACACGTATGGATATTTTTCTGGATACACAGATGTGTTGTTGTTTCTCTAACAGATTGCCATTTATGGGAAGAACTTCTGCGTCTCGGCCAAAAACGCTTTCATGTTGCTGATGAGAAACGTAATACGGTGTGTGCTCCGGTCATGTGCTTCAGTGTGAATGTGTTTTTTCTTCTCTCCTGTGTGCTCCGGTCATGTGCTTCAGTGTAAATGTGTTTTTTCTTCTCTTCCTGCACTCTGAATTCCACCTGTGTAATGACTTGTCCATTACTTGAGTACGCTCACTCGTCAGTCCATTGGGTTCCACCGTGTCACTGATAAACTAAAGTCTAAGTTATTTATCTAAATGTGTTCTGAGTTACTGAGCTGAGTCACAGTGTCCTGTCTCTCAGACTTTCTTTTGTGTGTTTTCAGGGTTGTAGTGCTGGATAAAGTCACAGACCTGCTGTTGTTTTTTGGGAAACTCCTGGTGGTTGGAGGAGTGGGTAAGGATGATGGAGAGATGAACCTCAACCTGGCTTAAGGACGTGTTCTGTTTCTGTTCATACAGCCTAACAGCCTCTATACACTGTGTGATTCTATCAACCTCATAAGACCATTGCATGACACTCTACGTGACATGGATGTAATAAACAGCTCACACAATCACCATTAACTGAATGGCAGGTTATGACCGTACGTCACAGCGTCCTCCATTTGTGCCAGTATCGTTACCGAAAAACTTTCAGGAGTGAAGAATGAAACCCTTGTTGTTTCTTCTACGATTGTTGTTTTAAAAACATTATCTGTTTTGTCCCAGGTGTTTTATCCTTCTTCTTCTTCTCTGGACGGATTCTGCTGCCAGGAGACACATTTCGCTCTGAAACACTCAACTATTACTGGATGCCAATAATTGTAACATTACAAATAATTTAAAAAAAATCAACTTGGGTGCATCAGAGTGAATAAAATGAATTCTGACAAATCATTCCTCTCTTCTAGACTGTGGTGATTGGCAGCTACCTGATAGCTCATGGCTTCTTCAGCGTCTACAACATGTGTGTGGACACACTGTTCCTCTGCTTCTGTGAGTATAGTTGGACACACTTTACAGTCAACCCTGAGGTTTATCTGCAACAATTAGGTTTCACTAACTACATTAAATGACAACTGCAGTAGCCCCGCCCTCACTGTGTCCATCTGTCATTGTCACAGTGGAGGATCTGGAGCGTAATGATGGATCTCCAGAGAAACCATACTTCATGTCCAAAAACCTCATGAAAATCCTCAACAAGTCCAACAAGGTCCCAAAGAAAGGTAAAGGGAAAAACTGAGGAGCCAACACTGTCACAGTTTTAGTTTTAACCAGTCAACACTTTTAACACGTTTACTTAAAAAAATAAATCTGCTGATTTTGCACTTTTTAATTTTTTTTATTGTATCCATGTATTTTCTGATGTTAATGAATGTATAAAAGAAAGGACTGAGCTTGAGGAAAATGTGAACTTTTGATGTTGATTATGTGTTATATACAAATAATCATAGACTCATTGTTGTTAATATTTGCTACATCACTTTATTTCTGTTAGAATGTTTAAATTGTGATTCAAAAATTCAAACATCCTTCACAGAAAACATTTATTTCATAGCTTTTTTTTCCATTTTATTCAAACCTTTTGAACTATTTTGTACAAAAGATTTACAAATAAAACTATTTTAATGTACCTCTTATTTTGCTTAAAGTAAATATTGTGTAATAAAATATTTACACCACACGTGTTTTGATGGTTCTTTCACCTGGAATCTTCAGCAGCAGGTACGTAGATGTCTGTTTTGAAAGACCACGTGACCATGTTGTTTCTCAGATTTGTGCTCACAGGTGGAGAAAAGATAAACACGTCAGTTTGTCTGGTACATCATCTGGTACTTCGCTACAGCTGACAAGAGCAGTCGTACCCAGCCACTCAACTGTGTGTGAGTATTTGTATTTACTCCTACATTACCATTAATACTTAAACCACTCTTATCTGTTCACTCCTCTGTAAAAGTCTTCACCTTTACCAAACATGTTGCTCTTTTGTCCAGTGTAAAAATAAAGACACAAGTGTATGAGTTAATCAGGTTTTAATCATCTAAACCATTTGGTTTTGTACAATAGTTCCTGGTTTAGTCTGTTAACAATCACAGACCGTGATTTTCACCTCTGTTATGCTTTTTAGTAACACTCCAGTTTGAAAAGACTCCAGTTTTTAAGCCGACAAAGTTTTGAGGGAAATGATGACCCCTAGCGGTCGTTGTTATTCTCTCTCCATTCAATTCTTTTTCAATGTACTGATCCCGCTGTTAGCGTTAGAGTTCCCCTAAAGAGTTGATACATTACCTACAGTTAAGGTTGCATTTGCCAGGGTTCACGGTTCAAAGTTGTAGGGGGCGCTACTGCACATGTTAACATTAAACGGCGGAAACTGCTGCAACCACCTCTCATTGCAGGGCCAGAAAAAAAAAACAAAAAACAATAAGAAATAAATTATTATTGACATATACTGATGACCCACTTCAGACCCGTGGGCCTTAGGTTTGAGACCTGCATCAGTGACTGCAGGAATTGTTCCAAAGGATTTGAATGGAACACTAGCCCTCACCTGGAACGGAACTAAACACAAGATGCACTGTGTGTTATGTAGGCACATTAGAATGTGTTGATATAAAAAAGCACTCATTAGAGATTAAACTCAAACTCAGCCAAATCTGGGTCAAAACTTTCACTCAGGTTTTCCATTTCTCTGCTGTCTGAAAAATCAGCATCTCGTCATGCAGCTTTTAATTTCAACCATAATTGTAGAAAATCACATTGACGTTTTACACATCTGTGGCAATTATTAAACCCATTCAGAGCAGGTGACCATTTATGGAAACATCACGTTTTGTTGAACACGTGCTCACTCTCTATGGCTGATCATCCAATGGAACACGCAAAACTACATTTACAATATTCATATATACAAATATATTATGCATACACACAAACGGGCACAAAAAAAAATCAACTGACAGAAGAAAAGAAATGTCACAATCACATTGGGGCTCATGTTATTATAATGTGTTGACCTTTGACTTCCACCACGTACCCATCATCTGTGTGTTTTTTCACTGCTTTGACTTTGCTATGTTGTGACATTGTCCAAAATATACTTCTCTTTTCTCCAGAAAAACTTTGGATGATTATGGGGGGGAAAAAATCCTCTCTCATCCGAGATGGGTCTACAGAAGACCGTGCTGCCGACTGATTCTGATCTTTAAGACATGGAAATGACCAGGACCTTCACAGGCTACCAAGGAAACGTCATCCGGTTGTGTGAGTGTATGTTTTAAGGTTCGTGGTCACTCACACTAATCCTAACATACCCTCAGTCATTCCACTTATCCACAGCTGTGTGTAAGAGTTGACGTCACCACATTCCACCACAACCGTCAGCACAAACTTAACTTTCACTGGATGTTTTAAGAGCAATGGTTGTGTTTTTGTTGTTGTTGTAATCAAACTGGTTTAATATCTGAGCAGTTAGTGTCTGCACTTGTCCATATCTCGAGTGGAGAAAAGGAAACAGCTGCTCCGTTCTTTCTTACCCTCACGTTTAACCCTTTGGTCTTTTTTCAAGTGAAAACTGCTGCAACTGTGATGTCGTCTTTCTGACAAACAAATCGTACTCTCTCCATCGGGGAAGAGGGTCAGACCAAAACTGACACACACACACTTTCTCACAGCTCACATAATACTGTCTCTAAAGCCTTATTTGAACCAGAACATCCTCCCCTAATTTCTACAGGTGTGTGTGTGTGTGTGTGTCTCTGTGTGTGACCTGTTCCGTACATACACTGCCCTTTGAGTATTTCTTGCATTAAAAAAATAAAATAATATCAAAACAACATGAAAGCCGTTGTTTTCTCTACAAAAGTCAACCTGCCTTTTCCAGTAGGAGGAGAAAAAAAAACCCATTCTTGTCCCTGTTGAGATCAAACAAATTGCTACACACTTTTATCAAGATTAATACCTGTGTGAAAATGTGTAACACCAGTGTGTGTGTGTATGTATGTGTGTGTGTGAGAGAGAGAGACTTCGTATGTGTGTGTGTGTGAGAGAGAGACTTTGTTTAAGTATGAGGTTCATGTTTGTCGTGGGTTTTGTGTCGTCACACTCCTCCCTCGTGCTGATCCACTGTCTGAATATCCACCATTTTCTTCTTTTTGTGATTCTTCTTCCAGCATCAATCACACGCTCAGCAGCCAGAAGAAGAAGAAAATGGCCACAAACAGGAAAAGGGAGTCTTGCCAGTTGTTGTTTTCATTGTTGCCATTGCCCTGATGATCACCAGGATACTGATCTGAAGGTGGAACGAAGGACAAAGAGGGAAACAGGTTATTGACTTTGAATGTCTTCTATTTCATTGGAGCGTCTATATTTATTAATCAGGGCTGCTCAACTGAGTGAACAATCATAGCTAAGAATAAGTAACACAATTCAAAAATTAAATGCAATGTTTCCACATAAAATATAAAAATTGGATTAATTGAAATCTGAAATGCAGCTCGAACCCATTACAGAGCCTCCCTTGTGGTTCAATCAATGGTTTAATTCCCCAGTCTTGGATGTATGTTTCTCATGGTCTCCTGATGTGTGTGTACGTTTACCTGCTCTGTGAAATGCGTCGTTGGTGTTGAAGACTGTCGTGAAAAAGCCAAAGGGAAAAGCACCGATGCCAAACGACATGTGAAAGCCTGTGTCCCCGAAACCTTGAAACATCTGCACACAGGAAAAAAAAACACAAAGTTAAAACAAAAACAGGAAGTGTGTCTAAACAACGCAGCGAGCACGGAGAAACACCGCCTTGCTGTTTTTGAAAGAAAATGGTGGAATGGAAAGAGGACTCACCCCGCCTCTGCTCTCTGGCTCTGTTCTCTGTCCCTGAGGCCGAGGTGGAGTTTTCAACCTGAGCACCGACGCAGACGCACGATTATTGAGAGCAACCGTGACATTAGCACAATAATAGACACAAGAACAAGAGTGCACCTGGGGTCCTCCTGGCTGGAGCTGCCTCGGCCGTACAGTGGGATGACTTTATCTCTGCTGATGCCTGCCTTACACACAGGACACTGCTGTCTGCTGGGCTGTGTTTCCAACCACTAGGGGGGGAACATGAGGTGTCATTACAGTTTATAGTACAGTTTAGACACAGTAAAGCAGGGCGTCACCAGTTTCTGTCTCACACGTATGTATGAATGTGAACCCTGCCTCTCTGACCTCGGCTGCTCCCCTCATCTCTAATCCCGTCCATCCGACTGCAGTCATCCCCAGATGACCGATTAACCGAGACAACTCTGGCTCAGCGTACCGTCCTCCAGAATATCTAAAACCGTTTTACATTATCCTCAATACACCCTTCTAAAAACAGCGCCGAAAAACGAATTCTCGTAGATTTCCCTCTCAAACCACGTTTCAACCTCAAGTAACAATATTCTCACTTAGCTTAAAGTAAATTTATTCTTTTTTTTTTTTAAAGAAAATGTCTGTTGCGAAATTCTTCATATCTGGTTAAATCATTGTCAGTACAAGTTATTCCTGTTCGGCCCTACAACTTAGACCGGGTTTTAAATTTCAGTGCCTGGAGTGACTTAGTTTGAAACACCTCAGTGCTTTAATCAGAGTAACTCAGTCAATCGATTTCAAACTGAAAAGCCTGAATGATTATGACCGAAACAAACCGAGACAGACAGGAGTGAACCAACAGATTCTTGTGTGTTCTACAGCAGCACATCTTTAAATGTCTCAGTGGACATCAGTGTGGAATCGTTAGCAAATAACAAAAAGAAATAAAAGAGGCAGCACTAAACCTTTAAATAAACAGCAGCAGAGGAGGCTGCAGTAAACAGTAGTGCTAGTAAGTGCATTAACACCTTTAATCTGGTCTAAGTCAACCGTTAGGTGTGGTTATCGATACTGAAGTTGGTAAACAACTCAGACCGCTACTACTATTAATTTTTATGTCTTGAAATAAATATTTGGTCTTTCTCAGGTTTATTTATTTCATAATGACACAGATGTATAAGTGAACTCCTACATAGAACACAGAGCCATAGTCATCAGAACAAAGTCCACTACAGTGGCCATAAAACAGTTGCCGCCCATAGATCTTCTGTGAATAGATTCCAGGTTTAACAGTAACAGAGAAGGTGTTCCTCTGGACTTGACTTGGATGTGACTGTGTGTTTCCTTCAAAACACAGTTTATACTGATGTAAAATCAATAGGAAGAAAAATGGAGAAGAAAAGAGTCAATACTCACTTGATGCAGACAGGGCCAGCTGTGAACACAGAGAAACAGAAAAGTATGAGTGACTGTCAGCTGACCTCCTCGGCTTCACTGATCTTTTCTCCTCTTTTAAAAACACAATACACACTTACTTCAAGCTCTTTAAGATACAACAGCATAAATATTGTAAGATGTCACTCTCATCACCTGTTGTTTCTAACCTGAACAAATCTCTTATTTCAGTGTAGCTGCTCTCAGGGAGGGAGCCGGCAAACAACATCAAGTTGGCACAAACACCAAGACATTTTGGTGAGAGTTTTGACACGGCTGTTGCCAACTTGACAGTTTCTACATCTAACACTTCCCATCCCAGTCCGGCCAAGACTGTATCAGAAAGACGACAGACGGTCCCCTCGTCATCTCTGATTAAACCGTCCTCTGCTTTCACACCTGGGAAGTTTGACTGCGTCCATCGTGAGCTTCATTTAACTTCCGAGCCTGAAGAACGGAGAAAAGTCTGGCTGATGGTCTGGGGTGTGAAACCCAGATCGTGCTCAACGCCAAGTACGCAACGGAACAACAACAGAAGTGGCGGAAAGATGTGAGAATAACTGAAGCGTTACTCTAATTTAGCAGTCATTTTTCATGTATGTTGCACCTCGTCCAATCAGAGCAGAGTTTGTTACGTTAACTCAAGCCATGCATTCTGTTCAGCTCCCAGAATCCACAGGAATGCATTTCTCAGGCGCAACATGGTGGTTGCTGTTCTGTACACAAACACACACGCTGCTAAGTCAAAAACTCTCATCCTCACTGTGTTTACACTGTAACGTGTGTTTTCAAGGATAGGCTTTGGTTCTGTTTTAAATCTTCCAGTGCAGTAATGGTGACGCCGATGCACTTGTTTGTTTGTGTAGGCATGCACCAGCCTGCAGGCTGATACACAGACCTGTTTTTCCTGGTGCACCTAGCAGTGTCAGGGAAGGACTGAAATGTCTAAGTTAGGTTTCTGACAATGTGACAAAAAACAAGTCCTGCCTGTTTCTGTGAGTCCACAGAAGATCTTAACTCCCAGAGGAAGCTCACACACGGAGGTTGTTGTCAAGTCGATAGTCAGGCTTCATGAAACACACACTGTACATCTACCTGCTGTTATTTTCTGTCTGTTCCAGCAAAATACAGAAAAAAAGTCTCTACTTTTTCATATTAGAATTGTTGACCTCTTGTTTTTCTTTCACGCAGAAAAAAAACCCTCAGATGTGCTCGAGTCTCCGAGGATTTAATTGGTTGTTTCTGATACACCCACCCCAGGTAGGCCTCATAAAGACCCAGCCTGATCACCAATCCTAATCCACAGCCAACTGGATTACCTACACAAATTACTACCAAAGAGTATATTGAGATGAAAAATATTATTGTTATTGTAAAAAATTCACAAATCTCTGCTGGGAGTTTATCTATGTGGGCAGAAAAATCAACCTCTTGGTCAGTAGTGTAGACTGGAGTCTGCTGCAGACACCAATTTATTTTTTTGGCTGACAGGCCAGTGAACTGCGAACAGTTAGGCAATACGGACGCCTGTAAAAATCTTTATATGTTTTCCAGTAAGGAGATAAAACCAGATTTATTAGAGTGTTCCAAATACAGAGGCTGACTTCCACCAGCTCCGTGTAAAACAGTCAGAGATCAAACACCTTTAAATTATTCACATACTCTTCCAGCTAATAAGATATGTGATGACGGGTTAGACAAGGCTCAGTGTTCCAGGCAGGCTTTTGACTTCTTTGATTACCAAACTCCTGAATTACTAAACAGAAGTGATGGTGAAATGTCAGATCTGAAAGTGTGAAGAAATGGTCTGTATCAGAGTTTAATCATCATGTTCTTGTAACACACACAGAGAGAGAGAGACAGACCGGGGCGGAGAAGATCACTGTGACACCGAACAGGCAGAGCCATGTAAAAAGAAAAAGAAAAAAAGAGAGAGAGAGAGACCATTAACAGGTGAGCTGACATCAGTGATGCTCGTTCTTACTGATAGTTTCATCATCAGGGTTCACAGCAGCAGCAGAGTCACCTGGAGACAGCGTTACATCAGCCGCAAACACTACAGCATCTATGTCATGTATGTTAGAACACCACAGCATCTTCATCATGTCCATGAGAAGCACAAACAACTTCTGTGATATAACTCACTAAGTCGTCAGCATAGCAAGATATCTTTGAAGGGTTGTGGCTCACATAATTAAGACAACGTTTTTCTTTTTCTTTCAAAATTAGTCATAGACAAAATGTTTAATCTCAGTGTTTGGAGAAACTGTTCCTAATACGATGACCAGTGCAACGTCTAACTAAGTCCCGAAAATTAGTCAAAATACTTCACAGCTACTGTGAAAAATAAGTCAGGACTGTAGCGACTTCAGTCACGTTGTCTGTACAACGCCAAACCATTATTCAACAAATATTTAGTTACAACTAAACATCTCAATTTGCTCCGGTGCAATATGGTGATTCTTGGTCTAAATGTCACAGTGAACAGCGATCTGATTGGCTAGCACTCAGGGCCACTCAGGTCATCTTCATTTAAACCCCAGACGTTTCCTCCTGTGAGTCACAAACACTACAAGGTTACACATGTTATTATCACAGACCCAGGTTTGACTCCTGGGTGACGCTCTTGGCCTTAATCACCTATTAGCGCCCACCACCTGTGATCAACAACAACAGCCGTCAGTCAACACCAGTCATTAATGAGACACAAACACACACACACGTCTGACTAACAATAGAGGATTTTAGACGCCACTTGATTGGACGATGTTTGTAAACAAGGAGTGAAATATGATATTCACATTGTAATTATAATCAAAGAAAGTGAATCTTCTTATCATGTGAAAGGTCAAAACTAGGGGACCAAATCCGATCGGGATACCCGAGTTAGTTTATAAAATATTAACAACGATCACATAATATAAAGGAAGAAGGACACGTTAATAATTACCAGACGGACTGGTGTCAGAAAGGGCAAACCTCATTAAAGCCTGTGGTCTGCTGCTAATGATCAACAATCTTTGCCTGTTTCACCTCCACCAACAAGGTAATGCGTTACTGGCAGTTTATGCAGCACGCCTCAGAGATCCTATGAGACACTGGCTGCAGCTGTGACCTCTGACCTACACGAACCTTTACAATTTGATCAGATCGGCTCACTTCCTCGACAAGATCAGTGCATAAGATAAGCTATTAGCAACATGTATTTTAGCCTCATTTTTTTATGATTACCTGACATTTATTGTCTGCACAAGAACCTGGGCACTTCTATAGAACTGTTCTGTGCCATCTTCTTGGGTTGTTTTGAGTCTTTTTGTTTTCATAGTCATCTTTTACATATTTTCCTTGGTTGTTTACATGAACGTTTTTAATGATTTTTGCATCATGATCCTCATGATTAGTATCTTTTCGCATTTTCTAATTTTATTTTTTCAGACCTTTGATAATTCCTAGTTGTACTTATAGTGTTTTGTTATATTTTAGCTAACTTTTATGCGGGTTTTTGTTAAGTTTTAAAGATCTCCTGCAACTGTACTAATAATTTTTGGGTTTTTACCAAAAAAAAAGGAAGTAACAACAGTTTTGTGTTTATCAACTTAAAAATATAAAAGCTCTTAGATTATTATCTATTATTAGTGTTTATCAACTTAAAAATATAAAAGCTGAAATAATCCTCCAGAAATCTGACAAACTCTGCAGTTCTTATCTTAGATTATAATACCAAATAAACAAAGTCATAAATGTGTAAAATATGCAGCAGATTTACATAGTTTCTAATCACATGTGGAGCAGTTGGACCGCAGGCATTTTACATGATCAGGGAGTGGAAAAAGTTCAGACGCTTTTTTTTTTTTTTTTTTTTTCCAATGTGGTTCACAGAAAACCTGGACCAGAACCCACCACTATCCCACACGAAGCAGAGTCTTTTAATGTCGTTCTGCTTTCTAATTACCCCAGCAGATATTAAATGAGGCCGAACATATGGTAAAACAATCAATCCAGTCAATGTAAACAACCCCAGACACCTCCACACACCCGAACTGCCCCCACTGCCCCCACCCCGGTCTCGTCTCCTACCAGAACAAGTGTCCGCACATACTGATGACAGCGTCTGTGGCAGTGTCCAAACAAATGTTGCACTCGAAGGTGGCCCGGTCCCGTTCTCCTTCCCCGCTGTTGCTGTTGCTGCCGCCGCCGTCGCGATCGTTGCTGTTCTCCCCGGCCGAATATCCTCCTCTGTTCGCCGGCCCGCCGTCACTCGACGACCGGGGACCTGCGGCCGCCATTATATTTGCCGTATAACCCACTAAGGAAGGTAAAGCACCGACCGAATCCAACCCACAAAGGGCCCGAGCCGAAACAAACGTACACGGTTTGCTCTTGTCTAGTCAGGGGAAACGACAAGTGTCATCATCAACACCGACACTGCCAATTGGAGGCGCTGTCGTTGACGGAACTCTATATGGACACTTCCGCTTCCGTTTATGGGGAAAAGGATGTAATCAAAGACGCTTTAAAACACAAATGTAAAAAAATAATTATACCAAATACAGTACGACTTTTGTAGAAAAAAAAGTACCTGGAGATAAGCAATATTTTTGTAAACTTAACCATAAAACAAAGTTGAAGTTGAATATTTGTATTGTTAGAAAGTTACAAAGTTCAACGAGATTTATTAAACATTTTTAGTTAATATAATATGTATATTTTAGGGATCCTCACGTTCTCTCTCTATTTATCTCTTCTTTCGTCTTTGGAAATATTTTGTACACGTGTAATATTGTTTTTAATTTTTTTTTTATAATCTTTCATTGGAGAAACAAATTGTAACTCGCAAAAGAAAAACAAACGGAACCTTTAGTTGGAGGTTTGTTTCTGGACGGTTTCATTAGGTGCCAGTACCGCAAGCATGTTGTGTACTGAAGCTACACACATGCTGGGATTCTTAGTGAATAATATAGTCTTTTGTGTGTGATCCTGTTAAAAAAAATTTTGTTTAAATTCATATTTTTTCTATAGAAATAGAAACGTTTTTATTCATAAGGAGTTGTTTTAATTTCACTCCCCGAAAACCATGAAGATCAAGAGACAGAAACAAGCTAAGAAAACCATCAGCTTCTACAAATACAACTTTAATTTCAGGCAACCCTTTCAGATCCTCTTAGATGGAACATTTTGTCAGGCAGCTCTGAAAAACAAGATCCAAATTAAGGAGCAACTGCCCAAGTATCTGATGGGCGAAGTGCAGCTCTGCACAACAAGGTGAGTAGATCGATGTTTAACCGAATCACATGCACACGGTTGTTTTTTCTGTTATTAGTATCCATATAATCACTCTGTGTTTTGTGGCACTGATTCCTCTTAGCTGTGCGCTTAAAGAGCTGGAGACTCTGGGGAAGGAACTGTACGGAGCTAAGTTAATCCTACAGAGGTTCCAGGTCAGGAGATGTCCACATTTCAAAAGTCCAGTCTCTGCTTCAGAGTGTCTGCTTTCCATGTTGGATAAAACAAACCCACACCACTACTTTGTAGCCACCCAGGTGAGGAATATGTGATCATACACTCTCTTGTTTGTGCTGTTTAAAGGTGTAAGTGCTAAAAATAAAATGTATGTGATTGAGGATTGTAGAAACTCTCATCTCCACACCATATCTAGGACTTCACAGTCACTACAGGACTAAAGAGCATCCCCGGGGTTCCTCTGCTCTACATCATCCTCAACACCATCGTTCTGGACAAACCCAGTCAGTCGTCACTGGACCACGTGCAGGCCGTTCAGCTGGGGGAACTGGTGAGCCCGGCCCAGCAGCAGAGCATCCGCAGCCTGAAAGAGGAGCAAGGAATCAGCGGGAAGGGCGGAGAGAGGCGAGGAAAAAAGAGGAAAAGGAAACAGAGCAACCCTAACCCTCTGAGCTGCCTGAAGAAGAAGAAGAAAGGTCCCACGCTGCAGCTGAAGAAGCCAGAGGAGGGGGAGAAGAAGAAAAGGAGTCGACACAAGAGACGGAAAACAGACGGTGCAGCTGATGGGCCTGCCGCTGCAATTAATAATACATGACTGACAGGAGGACAGACACCTTTTTTTTGATTGATAAAAAAAATACATTTAATTGTCAAAATGGTTAAACCTATTAATCTGTACCAGTTATACTTATTAATTAATTTTCACCAGCTTGAATAATCACAACATGCAGCTTTGAAATGCTTTTATTTTGGAAGTTTTGCAGTATTTTTCAAGACTTGGCAGGCAAGAGACTAAAACTGTTCAGAAACACTGTAATATTGTAGAGATACACACAGGATTTGTATTTTTTTTTTTTTTTTTACCAAATATAAAATCCGTTTCACAGGCACACGGTTAAAAAGTTCAGTGTATAATGATTTGACGTTTCATGCCATGGAGGTTATGCAGTAGATCATCAGAGACGCTGGGAAGAAGAGCAGTCACAGTTTTAATATTGTGGCGTCTGATGTTTTCAGAGACTTAACAACAACAACAGAAAAATGTGTCCATTTGCACATTATTCCATGTCCTTTATATTACACCCTCTAAAATTAAAATGATCTATTCCTGCCCCACATCTCTCCTTATACACCAATACATAAATTCACACGTCATCCATACAGTGATTGAGAAGTTGCTTCTGTTGCGGTTCTACTGCAGGTAAAATATTCAATACTCAGTAATGGACTCCATACAGGAACCCATTCAGTTTTATATTAATCACAAATATAAACCCACGACAACTTAAAACATTTTTTTTTCTTTGTCATTCCTTTTGGCTTGTTTATATTTGGAGTTGGAGTATATTGTATGTATTTGTACAGGCCATCCTGGTGTTTTCATACTTAACGTGCTAAGAAACAAGTGAGATTTCATCTGTTCATGTTTTTCTTTTTTAAATGAGAAACTTCCTTAATGTTAACCTTAAAACCACAAGGTTAAATTATATGTAGCACCAAAGCCAACTTGGTTAATAACTGTAGCTACAAATGATAAAAGAAGAGGTGATCAAAAATGGAACCCTTCATATTTACGGTAATTTACTGTTTAGTATGTAAGTAGATTGGATTTACTTAATTCTTTTTAGTTTAAACAAATGACATGCTCCACTGATACAAGGTAATACATGTGAAATACATTCAACTTAAAAATATTCTTCAGAAAAACAAAGTTTTTTCTTTAATTTAAAGTCAACACTTCTGTAGTTTATGGAGGACTGATTTCTCTATCTATTTTGGCAACAATTATTGTGCATATAACTGAGTGAACCAGCTGTTTTAATATTTAAAACCTCTTTTTGCTTATTTTGAATGATTTGTTTGCAGTTTTAAGTGCTTTAAAGTTTTCTTCTTTTTCCCAGCAGGACAGGTCACGGCCATTTGCTCGCTGCCCTCCATGGTAAAGCTAAAACTGTGAAGTCAGGAGAGAGAGTCCCTACTGTTGACACTGTCTTTCTAAATGATGTTGAATCGAGGCCCAGGTGTGGCGATGATGTCACTGTACGGCTCCTCCTGCACCAGCTCCACCGCCTGCTGCTTCTTCAGGACCAGGAAGCTGTAGAACTTGGCGGCCGCCTGCTTCCTGTTGTTGTTCCGGCAGAGGTCGAGCAGACTGACCGACTGGGTGCCCGTCTTGGTCATCACTCTCTGAGGTGAGGCAGAAGAGCCAGAGAGGTGAAGGGTTAGGATTTTGTCATGTTGTAATTCAGAGCTTTTCTTCAAAATACTACAGTAACAGAGCGTACACAGATCACGGACATCACTTTTACTTATTCTGGGAGAACTCCAGAGTGGTCGCAGTAAAACAGGTGACCTGCAGGTGGACACACACTCACCTGTAGACCATGCAGCATCTGCTGAGTTCTTTTGTTCCACCTTCTCTCCTCCTGATCCTGGTCTCCTCCCTGTGCCTCGTCCTCCTGATGTAGAGAAAAACCCACATCAGCACTGGTTGCTAACAGGAGGCTACAGGTTCATGTTCATGCTTATGGTAAACATACAAATAATTTTGTGTTTTTTTTTCTCACTTCTTCATCAGAGTCTTCATCGCCTTTTTTCTTGTCCTTGTCAGCCAGTAGGTCCAGCTCTATCAGCTGGCTGATGTTGGTGCTGGTCTCCTCAGGTGGAAGCTCCACAGTGGTGGAAGACTCCAACTGCTGGGACACATTACCGACTGTGGACGTCTCCTGCTGCTGCTCTTCCAAAGCCCCCATCTGAAAAGAGATCATTTGAGAATATGATGAAAAAAAACAAAAGTTGTTATGCTGTAATCAGCAGCTGTTTCTACTCACTGGTAGATCAGGCTCTGCGTCCTGTGATTTGCGCTTCAGGCCTCGCTGAGAAGACGGTGGGGGCATGACCGAGTCGTCCAGAGTCGTCCTGCTGCCCTCCACTGCAGACGCTTGGAGAACACTGGCCTCCTCCGTGAGGGTCTGGTCTGGGGGCAAATAACGAAACAAGTAGGACGTTTTTTAAAAAAAGCTAAAAATACAAAAGATATTCTTTATAGTAGCTGAATTTCTTTTCTTTTGATTTGATTTTTTTTTTTTGGTTTGATTTTTTATTTTACCCATGATGTCCCTCTGCTGGTTTCCAGTAACGTCTTCTCTGGGCACCTCTGGGTTCTCCAGGTCTTTGAGGAACTCATCCAGACTGTCCGCCTCTCCACCTTTCCTCCTCTTCCTCAGCTCGTCTGGTACCAGCGGTGTCAGACATCGTGTGAACATCGATTTGAAGAACCAGGACAAAACACATCAAATTCATGCTGTGGAAAAATGGGAACGCGGTTAAAGACGACGTCGTCATCTTCATAACCTTGAGCAGCCTGACGTTCCACAGAGGCTGAGCAGGCAGGGAGAACAGCTTCTCCACCCCCCCGGTCTCCTTCCACATCATCAGCTTCTTAGTGGGAGGAGCCAAATCCAGCGTAGTGACGATGTCAGAGTAGTCGGACAGCTGGGCACGGATGGTTTTACTGTCCAGTTCCTTCACACTGTCCACGATCAGTTTCCTCTTACGCTTGGCCTTGGTCTCCTTAACTGCAAACGTCCAAATATGGATCACCAGTTGATCCGGACCTCGTCTACAGGACCAGGACATGACACTAGGTTACACTGAAGATCCAGAAGAATTACCTGTGATGTCAATAGGCTCCAGGGCGAAGGTCTCCTCCTCATTATGAACCATGCTGGTCTGTTCTAATTGGTCGGCCATAGCTGGAAGCGGCTCAGTCGGGCCTGAGTCTGGACTGTCAGGTACTCCGGCTGACAAACACACAATGACAAACACTCACTACTGGACAGTGACGGAACTGCACAAACTAAGCTGTCTTGATTACATTCACAGACCTGAGAGCGCGTCAAAGTCGTCCTCATCGTCCCCATGGTCCTGAGGCATCATCACGCTCTCTGTGATGGCGGGAGGGTCGTCAAAGATGCCGCCTCCGTCCTCATTACTCAGAAGTTTGTCCACTAGACAAAAATATCACGCCGTCGGCAAAACTGGTATTGTGGTATTTTTTTGTGTGAAATATAGTTTTGTTTTGTTTGTTTTTTTTACCCAGCATGCCTCCCTCATTGCTCTCCATGGGGTTGTCTCCAAAGTCGTCTTTGTACTGCTCATCGTACTCCAGGTGGTTGGCCTTGTCAGTCATCTGGTTAGTGCCACCTTCAGCCTCCAGCAGCAGGTTGGAAGCCGAAGCTCCCATGATGTCCACCTCGAACGCGTTCTCCTCTCGCATCATCTCCCGGTCGTCCATCCCGAAATCAGCTGTTCATTTTGACAGTTTGGACATAGTCGATTTTACTAAAGTTTTATCTTCATCAGTATCATTATTAATAGTATTATTATTATTATTCATCTTGTTCCTAGGACAGCAGAGGCATCACTGCACCAGTGTAAACAGACTGTGGCAGAAGAGCTCCACTCACCAAAGTCGTTGTCCTGCAGCAGGTTGAGGTTGCCCACCTCCTCCCTCATGGTGATCTCCTCCACCCTGCTCTGGTTCAAGTTAAACTGCTGAGCAATGTCAAGGTCACTGCAGAGACAAAAGAAATTCAGTGTAAGGTCAGAGGTCAAGGCGGGGAAAGAAAATCCACATCAGTCTTTCCTGCGGCCGGTGTGTACTCCCTGTTTTCCTCTTAATGGGATCGTAATTTACAAAGTTAATATTATGTCCTTCTCAGGAAAGCTAATGATTGAAACTATAAACCGCTAATGAAAATGTTAACATTATAAACTGATGCTGCTTCCTGGTCACAGCGCTCACTGAGGACTCACTCCAGGTCTGGCAGCGGTTGGTCGAAATCATGGAACTCCTCCGGCAGAGTGATGGCGTTGTAGGCCGCTTCCCTGTTCTCCTCCGGAAGATCCACCACTCCTGGAACACCATAGAGGAGGAGAAGGAGGTAACAATACATGTGACATGTAAGAAATACACACACACTCAAAAATACTACGGTCATTACTGATTGGATGTGAATATTTTGGATATATTTTCCTTCCTGTTTTATTCTGAAATTGTATCTGTGCCATCAAAGTCTCTCACTTTTACTTCCTATGTTTTATTATAGCCTTAAATTGTGAAACTAAGTGTACAGTATCCGTCCTTAAACTTTTACCAAACATTTAAAAAATGTGCGGCGAGGCTCAAACCGTGGTTACAAACATCAATAATCCGTGTCCACCTGGTCTGAAGGCCATCTTGATCTTAATGAAGGCCTCGTTACAGTCGGCCAGCAGGTACTTGGCCTTCCTGTGGTAGATCCTCACCACGCCCAGCAGGAGGTGCCCTGAGGTCCTCAGAGCCATTTTCACCTGTCAGATTGACAAGTTTCTTTGTGAGTTTTCTCTCTCATCTACATTAACGCATTACCGTAATGGTGCATAATGTGTCACGGTGACAGTAGGGGGCGCCGATCACCTTGGGTGAGATGATGCTCTCCACGCTGCTCTCCAGGTTGCACTCAAACACGTGTGCTTTGGTCAGCTTCTTGTCCCAGTGGGCCGCCAGCCAGATTTTGGCCAGCGGCCCACGTTTGCTGAGGACAAAGTGAGCGTAGAACATGAACTCCTGGGTGTTTTCTCACCACAGGGGGAAAAGGGGGAGGGAGGGGGACGTCAGGCCTGGAACAGAAAAGGTTTTTTGTTTTTTTTAAAAGCAGGTACAAAACAACTGCAGTATCACAAACACGAACTAGATAATTATAATTATATTTCTACATCATACTTCAATATTAATCTGGCAAAACAACACAAATTATTCAATTAAAAATAGGGAGCATGTACCAAATACTGTACATGCATATTCCATAACTACAATACTTCACACACAGTATTTAGCTACTCAAATAAAAGCTAGAAAACTATTGTTTGTGGCAGAAAAGTAAATTGTCAACAATGAAGTACTTTTATTATTACATTTTTACATGCAGAAAGATTGCATGAATGTTATAAAATACTATAAAAAATTAGATATTAATGAAAAGTGAAAAATAAATTCATATATCTAAGGACAGGCCAGGATTTGTGTGGTGTCCAAAACCTGGCCCTGGACCCTCAGGTTGAGGATACCTGATAGAAACCTATGTTTTTTATGACTTGGTATGGTAATGTAGAATGTGGTTTTGAAATATCGCAATTTCAAATCAAAGCTCGGACTCAGACTTCGTCAAATCGATCCCCGCTGATTCGAGTCGGTGTTTACATGTTTACATCCTGCCGGTTGTTTACGACAGTCAAACAGACAGTTTGTACTCATTCATATATTTACACGTAAACGCAAGACCAGTCAGTGTTGGTGAATGTGTCCTTCAGGTGATGAGGAGTTCACATACTGTAAACACACGCGTGTATCTAAACATATGAACATGTGAAGTACACGTCAGTTTCATCGTGACATCATCATAAATACCCGCTGCGGCGTGGTTTACGGCAGGTAACTGTCACCGCGTTGCAGGTTCAGGATACTGACCGCTGACGTGATGCATTAACATGAGAATACTCTGACACTGCACACATGCATGAGTGCTGCGCGCGCACACACAGCACAGTGCAGAGGTAATGTTCGTACTTTAGTTTTTTTTTTTTTTTTAGGACTCACCGCTGAGCCGTTTTGTGTTCTTGTCGTTTTTTTACCGGTCGCAGCTGATTCTCCTCTTCCTCCAAATAAATATACAAGATGGCGAACGGTCTCCTCCTGCTTCACTGATTAACAGAGAGAGGGAGAGAGAGAGGGAGAGAGAGGGATGAATGGATGATAGAGGGGTAGATTTAATGGATGACGTGATGATTGAGTGATGGATGGATGAGTTGATAGCTATAATTGGATGAAGTGATAGAGGAGTAATGAACTGGTGGATGCAGTAGGGATGGATGGATGGATGGACAGGTAATCAGATGGGATGGATGGATGGGTTCATAAATGGATATAAAAATATAAAACCTCCCTGACTATAGTTGAGGGACACATATCTCCCCATTTACCACGTCACCGAATCCACTGTTAGGTTAGACACAAACTTTGTTCTTCCAGCTTTTATTAATTATTTACTATGTAAATAAACCAAATGAAAACTCGTGCCAAGACACTAGCAGGTTCCTGTGAAAGCCTGCACACATTACATGCACCGCTAGAGGGCAGAAAAGTTATCTAAACTAATTAATGGGAAAGAAAATGTACTTGCCTCGTGTCTTATCAAATATTAGTCACGGAGCAAAATTAAAATAAAGAATAAGTTATTTAAAAATATTACATTTTGTATATTTTAAAGGGATTCTATTATTATTAGTCTAATTGCGGCCAACACGACACTGATGATCTCTCTGTTGATACAATACTAGGACTCTTTTTAAATTCCAGCAGTAAATACATGTATGATGTAACAGCTGATGTTTATACTTTATTTTTGTAAAGTGTTAGGACTTTAAAAGGTTGGCGTGATCATCTGAAGACCGTCCGTCCAGCGTCCGCCGCTCGGCCCCGGCAGCCTGTCATTGTTGTCAGACGACACTCTGCTTCCTTGACCTTCAGCCCTGGACGGTCGGATGCCTCTGGCCTCTTCTCACGCTCCGCAGACCTCTGCACGAATGGAGTCATAGCTCAGATCTTACGAGCTCTGACAAGTCACCAGTCACTGGGTGGAGAGGGTTTTAATGAACTCTTGGCAGCACGAGGTCTCACTTCAGTCTTTTACAGTTCCTTGTGACACCGCCCTGTGCTCTCAGACCTCAGAGCCAGACTCATGAGTCAGGAGGCAGAGGGAACTCCAGCAAACCTTTTTACATGTCTGCAGCAGAAGAGAGAGAGAGAGAGAGGGAGGGAGAGTTCATCTCTGCCAAAAACCGTCCCACAAATCCCGGAGGGATCGGACTTATCTTGGGCACAAAGACCCTGCTTGTATTTCACTGTAGGTCGTTCTTTGTGTGTGTGAATCAGCTCCCACTGAAGCCCACGGTGTCTCCCCCCTTTAACCAACCTGTCCGTCTCCCAAAGCTGACAAGCAGGTCTTATTTAGGGGAGATGCAGCCCAACAGTCCACTGGGGGCCGGGATGGATTCTGTGCACAAAACACACACACAGGTTTACACTGTGTCCAAATGAGAGCTCACTCAGCACACATTTCTCACACTGGAGTTGTATAGAGGCGGGACAGGCTGAGAAAAAGAAAAAAAAAGAAGGGGGGAGCAGTGGGGGGAGGGGAGGGTGTGGTGGAGGTTGGTTGGAGGGGTCCTTTCACTTCTTTTTAGGAGGCAACAATAGTCTTTGTCCAGGATCTTCCACCATTCTTATTAGTGTTACGGGAAAGAAGGAGGAGGAGGAGGAGGAGGTGATGGTGGACAAGGGAGGGGAGAGGGTTGAGGTGAGGGGGGGTCAGCCACAGGAGTTTTTCTCCATAGTGACAATGACAAAACAGGCCAGTTGAAGTCCAGACAGGCGCGGGGATGATTGCAGCTGCCGGGCAGAGGAACACAGAGAGGTGGAGATGTTGACGGAGGACTAGGACCTGCTGAGGACCAACAGAAGAAGGTTTTACGAAAAAACAAAAAACAAATACGAAGTGCTGCTGTTATTGTTCCTCTGTCTCAGAAAGTGCTTGCCTTGCACATTCCGAGCCTGTCAGCATGGACCGGGACAGTCACAGCGAGGACACTCTGTCCACCATGGTCCTGGAGGACATCAAGAACAAACTGATCAATGCCTTCAAGGCCACGGGAGAGTCCAGAGAAGACGGCCAACAGTGCCAGGGCCCCAGAGTCAGACCGCTCAGCATCGGCCGCAGCCTCCAGGCCAACGAGGAGCTGAGGAGGGCGCAGATCGATGGAGCCATAACCTGGCTGAGGTCTGAGCTGGTAAGAGTTTTTGGTTTTATATTCTCTGTGCTGTAGAACAGTTCATCTGTCATTCTGACGGCGCCCTCTGTTGTCCTGCAGCTGGAGATGCGTTCCCAGGACCTGCAGCTGGCTCAGACCCTGCTGGGACTCAACACGGAGATCCAGAGACTGAGGAGGGAGAGTTTGGGAGGAGTGGAGGCAGAGGGGGAGGATCAGCAGTAGTCGGCCCCCGGAGTGAGCGTCTTCTCCGGGAGGTTCTTCAGTCAGAACGACTGGAAGACGAGAATCTACAGCAATGTTCATTCTGGAGCTCCTGAAGGACGAGGACGGGAACGTGGATTCATCTGGACTCAACACGACGTCAACGTTTGGTTTTTATCACCATATAAAGAATCATTTTCATTGGTGAACTGTCATTGGTCCTAGTTCCTGGTACTATTTCAAGTTCCTGGCACTGTACCTAGTTTCTGGTAATCATTCTGGCTCAATATACTGTCCCTAATTCCTGGTACTTTGTCTAGTTCCTAGTACTATATCTGGTACAAGTTCCTTGGACTGTCACTAATTCCAGGTACCACTACAGTCTTTAGTTTCTGGTACTAATTCCTGGTGCTAGTTCAGGTACTAGTTTTTTTGTTTGCACTTTTCAGAAGAGGAGTTGAGAATTTGAAAAAAAATTGGCTGGATTTTTTTTAAACTTTAAAGAACAAGAAAGAAATACAACCCAATAATAAAATAGTGTTGATTATTTATTCAGTTCTTTATTCCACTGGCATACTGTACAGCTGCAGTACAGTACCTGTTTAAAATACTTCAGGTACATAAAAAAATACCTGGAATTTATCCTACAGTTCAGACACTCTTTGTTTAATAACAACAACAACAGAGTGAACAGTGAAGATCGGAGACCGAGGTTGAAGGACTGACAACAGAACTTTTATCTCTGCAGGGAGACCGAGGTTGAAGGACTGACAACAGCGTCTTACTGTCAACAGAACTTTTGTCTCTGCAGGAAAAAACAAACAACGATGTGAAGAACTTCACCGTTTCCTGCTGCGGTGCTGGATTCGTTAGATTTACAGTCATGAAAGGTCAGTCAGCCTTCAGCACAGACGTGTCTGTGGTTACTGCCTCACACTCAGACTTCACATCTGAACTCACTAATAACACTAATACACAAAGGCAACAACAACTGCCTTCAGGTCAGTTTCCAACATCACACAGTTCAAGTTACAAAAAATGAGCAGAAATTATATTTACATTTTGTAAAAAAAAAACAAAACAAAAATGATCCAGAAACTGACAGGATGTTAGTTCTGGAACTCACTGACATTAACATGATGTTACTTCAAAAAACATACACATACAGACGCTACAGGTGGTCTGTGTGGTGGTCTGTGTAGTTTTCTGTGTGGTGGTCTGTTGTTGAAGCCTGTACTTCCATGATTTTGTTAGAAAACACTAGTGGGATGTAAGGAAGTTGTGAGAGATGCTGGTGTTTCATTTTGCTAGTCGTGCCGTTTATGGGACCGAGCTCCTCCTATTGAACCCCCTCCTCCTGAATAAAAGCCCTGCATGAAGAGATCTGGGCCTCATTAGGTATGAGGGGGGAAACCCCGCCTCCCCTGAGCTGGAGTAGACGCTGCCACGCTCACTCTCAGAGTCCCAGTAGCTGCCGGCCTCTTCCTCCTCATCATCATCATCAGTCTCCTTTTCCTCCTCTTCCTCAGAGAGCTCCTGCTTGAGCTCCTGGATGCCAGAGTGAAGTTCCATCAGCTGCCTGATCAGGGCCTGGTCCTGAGAACGCATTTCCATCTGTAGACAGAAAAAAATA